ACAACCCACCATGTACTCCTACATGGCCTCTCATCGATACCTTTACCAAATCGTGTTCACCACACCACTCTCATTACCGACATAAACATTTCACTCTAGCCCATCACCCAGATGAACCAGACCTGACACGACTCTAAGCATAGCAGGCATAGCAAGGTAGGAACAACACATACATATGGCTCAAACAACTCCTACACATGCTAGTGGGTTTCATCTAGTTACTGTGGCAATGACAGGTCATGCAGAGGAAATGGGTTCAACTACCGTAGCACACAGCAGTTTGAAACGCGTTGTCTTAATGCAGTAAAAGAGAGCAGGAGCGAGAACATGGGATTGTATCGATATGATCAAATGGTTGGTTGCTTGCCTGACGGGTCGGTGCACTGGTATTGCTCTTCGTCGGGGTTATCACGGTACTCCTCGGGGGCAGAACCTGCCGCAGAGAGCACCGATACACAAACATTACCAAGCAGTATGCAACAATATGATGCATGCATGAGACATGGCAAAATGAGTGTATTGGGCTAATGCAACTAAGAACAGATGGGTTTGAACTAATTTGAACCATTGATTCAAAGTTCAAACTCATAAGTTGCCATTTAAGGTGTTTTATCTTGTTCTGTGATAAACAGCAGGTTAGCTTGTTTAAACATGCATGAAAATAGTACAGATGGATAGATTGGATTTTTCTGATCATTTTTCATATATAATTTGTCTAATTTGGAGTTACAGAATAAAAGTTATGAATTTTTGAAGTTTAAATAATATTCTGGAATTTCCTGTGTAAAAATAATTCCAGTAATTGAATTACTGCGTCAGCACTACGTCATGATGACGTCAGTGGTCAACGGGCTGGTCCAGGTCAAACTGACCAGTGGGTCCCGCATGTCAGTATTCAATTAGTTTAACTAAATTAGATTTAAACTAACTGGATTAATTAACAGAGGGGGCCCCACATGTCACAGACCCAGGGGGTCAACCGGGGCCCACCCGTGGTCAAAGTCAGAGTCAAACACGCCGGCGTCTAGCCGCCGGCGAGCCCGACGCGGCGGCGAAAGTGCTTTTTGCCATTCCGGCAACCAAATGGACGGCGGAAGGCATCTACGTGTTGCTGAGGTTGAGCCGCGACTATTGGTGGTGGTGGTTGGGCTCGGGGTGGCCGGAGTTGGCACCGGCGGCCACTTTGGCGGCCGCCGGAGTTCGGTTGAAGACGAACTCGTGGCTAGAGTGTGCGGTGAGGTGCGGGGAGTGCATGGTTAGCCCCAACGCGGCGTGGTGAGTGCGATGGACAAGGTGAGGTGGCCGGAGGATGGCCGGGAGCACGTCGGCGAAGAGGTCCGTGACGGCGCGTGCGGGTGAGCTTAGTGTGCTCGCTGTGGTGCACGAGAGAGAGAAAGAGAGGAAGGGGAAGTTAGCCCAGCTCACTGCGGTCTTGATGGAAAGGACGGCGTGGTCGGGGACGAGCTGCTGCGGCGGCGACGGCGAAGGGGATCTCCGGCGATGGCGGTTCGGGCGAGGTTGGTGCGGCGGCTTCGGGGCACGCGAGCGCTCGGGGCTCGGCTAGCTCGAAGAAGTAGAGGACGGCGGAGCTTCTGGACACGGTGGCGCGGCGTGGAGACGAAGGGGAGCACGGCTACGGCGGCGGTGCGGCGACGGTGGCGTCGGCCATGGCGTGGGAGCGCGAGGGAGAGGAACTGGGGGCGAATGGAGGTGTCCAGGAGGGTCGGGGCGCGACGTGGAGCTCGTCCAGGCCATCAGGGCGGCGAGAGGGGGAGGCAGGGCGGCGTGCAGCTGCGTGGCGAGCTGCGGTGCCGCCGCCGAGCACCTTGGCTGCCTGCCTGGCAAGCCAAGCAGCTCGCTGGAGCGGTGGCCGGGCTGGGCCGGCCAGGTGGGCTGGCTGGTGGGCCTGTGGTGGCGCCAGGTAAGTTTTCCCTTTTTCTTTCTGTTTCTGTTTTTTTTAATACTTCTGCAACTTTGTTGAATTAAATAAAATACTTAGGCAACTCCTAAAATCACCAAATTACTCCTGGTCCATAGTTGGATTATTTCCAACATGAAACATTTTAGTTTGGAGATATTTGAGCATTTAAATATTTTATATAATTTTAAATGCCCAAATTCAAATATTTATGATTTAATTCAAAAACCCTAAGATGGCCTAGGAAAATGTGCACCACTTTTGGCAGAGGTTCTGAACCAAGACAAAAATGATGGGCATTTTAGAAGGGCATTTCAGGTTCATTGAAAAGTTTTTTTTAGTAAACCCTAGTTGGTTTCAGAGAGGACTGGGGGTTCTGTCATCCCCATTTCAAGTTTCTGATGAAAAAGTAGACATGATGCAACACTCTAATGCATGGCTAACTAGGATGTGACACCTAGGCTCCCTATATATAGTGGGGGGGGGGGAGGGCCTCTTCCCCATGCCTTTGGTGTCTCCCTCTCCCTCTCCAACACCTCCTCCTCCTCCATAGAGCTTGGCGAAGCCCTGACGGAGTACTAGGACTTCCTCATCCCCGTTCTTTGAACGCTTCCGCGTGTGAACTACAAAGGTATATAGATGCAATCCGATCACTCGTTGCTAGATGAACTCCTAGATGGATCTTGGTGAAACCGTAGGAAAATTCTTGTTTTCTGCAACGTTCCCCAACAGTATCTCCTTCGTGGCCGACTTTTATGTTTAGTTAAATGCATATATTTATTTTTAAACTGCTCGCAATATTTTTTTTAACGCGCCGATGAAATGAATCGGGCCAGCGTTGGGCGCTCACGCCAGCCCAAACACAACACCGGACGTTTGTGTCCGCCGGGCCGACCCAAACAGACAAAAAACGGACAAAAGCGCCGTCCGTTTGGATCGGCCCGTTGGAGTTGCTCTAAATAATCCATACCAGCCTCTTGGCTCTTACCGTTAAATTTACAAGGCCTGGGGAATGCAGCGTTTGGAAACAGCTCACAAAATTGGCCGAGCTCGAATCACACCTAGGACAACTCCAACATATTCATGCGAAAAAGTACAGCCCGACCTCATCTCAGCTCAGCTCAGCTCAGGTGTGCCATCTGCTCATCTCGAGCATTTGGTGATTGATTAACCAGCTGCCTGCCTGCCAGGCTCCTCGGAACATATTCTTCCAACCGTTTGGGTGGCACGGAATATTCTGGCGCCCAATAATTCACACACTCTATCTCTCTCGTGACAGCTGAATTTTTTTTAGAAAGAAGGAAAGGGCCCAGAGAAAAGGACTCCTGTTGGCCGCCGCATCACTGAAAAAAGAAATAAAGCATTTTACGTGCGCGAATACTCCTATCATCCATTCACATATCCCTACCCACTTTCCCCCTTTTAAAAGTTTATTATTATTATTACTTGGTGATGGGGTACGTGCTCCTTTTGTAGGGCCATGTTTGGTACCGACTCTCCTTTTAAAATTTCATCTCACGTCTTCCTCTAGATGGTATTTCTTTTTTGCGGGGATTCTAGATGGCATTTCAGGGTCAGAAAAAGGAACATGTGTTTCGACAAGGGACAAACGAAATGGTAGTATGGCGTTTGGTCATGCAGACAGATGTCTTTTGAAGGTGCTCATAGAGGTAGAGTGTACGTGTGTGCATTCATAGAGATGAGTGCATGCGCGTGTATATGAGCATTTGCGTCTATACTGTGTTAAAAAAAGAAAGCATGGAGCGATCGAATCGGTTACAAGTTGCAACTGTACCTATAGTCTATTACACGGCCACATCATGCCATGGTACCGTAGCATTTATGGCTCTACCTTGAAAAATGAGGTTTCTAGTCCGTTTTTAGAAGCAAGCTACACACGCGCATGGGAATTGGGTGCCATCTACGGCACTAGCAACACACGAGCATACGAGTATAGTAAAATTTCTCTTATTGGTAAGAAGGTCATCCCCAAAATCAAGCACGCTCGGGGAAGAATAAACAAGCTACATTTGTTTTCGAAAGGCTAGGCAGGAGTCGCATCAGCTAAACCAAAAAATCTCGGGAAAATAAGCATCGTTGAGTATCATTCTCACTTTAAAACGGAGGAGGTAACATTTTGGTGTAAACAAAGCAGCACACCACATCTCATATTTTTTTTTCTATTAGTAACAGTAACATAGGATGCTTGATGCTTGATCCCTCCCCTCGAATACAGTACCTCCACTTCCCATCACCACCAACCAACTGCTAACAGAGTGCTAAATCCATCCCCCAAGACCATCATTACCGAAGACAAGTATATGAATCATAGAAGAGAGAGAAAACCATATAGTAAATGACACAGTTTAGCAGTGACACCCTCAAAAAACCCAATGATTTCAAAGTCCCTTCCAAAAACAGGACACCACATAATAATAATAATAAGAAGAAAAGAGGCAGAGACAAAGTGAAAAAGAAGAAAACGCATAAAGAAAAGTTAAATATGGATGGAGTAACAATCAAGCCACGCCAAAAGTCTCCCATCTCCCTCTCTTATCTACACTTCTGTAGCACCTCCCATCATCTACCGTTTCTGATCTCACTTCCCCTGCTTGATCCACTGTTGTGTGCCTTGCAAGGCAACACCAATTTTTTTATTGTAACAATTAATTAATTATTTTTTGAAGGCAATAATTAATTAATTAATTAATGCAACAAAAGCGTGAAACCCTAATCCCGCCCAACCAAGAGGGAAAAGGCGGTGTTTATTTTCGGGCTGCTTTTAATTTGCACGCCCTATTTCTTTGGGAGCAATCAATTGCTACCCTCCTTATCCCAAAATATATTCCCCTTTACTTATTTATTTATAGATAGGAGAGAGAAAGAGGGAGGGGGAGAGAGAGAGAAAGAGGAGGGAGAAGTAGGAGGCAGCAGCAGCACCCGAGGCCGCCGAGCCGAGCTATCCCTTCCCTCAGCTCTCAGATCCAAAAGCCGAAGAGAATCGCGCCAACTCGCTCGCCCTCGCCGTAGCTAGATGCGCGCCGCAGGCTGCTACTGTTCCTGCTGCTAGGTTTCTGCGGAGATGCCGGGCGCTGAGGCCGACGGCGCCGGCGGCCCCGGCGCCTCCTCCTCCTCCACTGCAGGTGAGGCTTGCGCCGGGGTGGTGAACGAATTTGGTGCGCTTTTGCTGGGTTTCCTGGGAGCGTTTGATCTGCTCGCCGGTTTGGTTGGTGTTGTTGGGTTGCTGGTGCTGCCCTGGTAGATTTGGTGCTCGAGCCTGGCGCCTTCGTTGCGCTTCTGGTGCGAATCTTGCTTCTCCCAGCGGAGAATTACCCGGCGAGCTGAAGACATGTTTTTAGTTTGTTCGCTTGATTGGTCTTCCCATGCTGTTCTTGCCTCTGTTCTTCGTAGTTAGTTCTAGCTTGTAATCTGGGTAAAGATGTTAATTTGATCTGTTCTTCCTTGCTGCAGATAGTTTTGACGCCGGGCAGTACGCCTTCTTCGGGAAGGAGCCGCGCGACGGGCTCGAGCTAGGTTGCTTGGAGGCTGATGGTGGCCATGGCAATGGCGGTGGATTCAGCGGGCCAGAGGATGGTGGCTTGTACCGGCTCTCTTCGGTTGGAGAAGAGGTGCTGACTCCGGAACCTTCCTAGTCCACACCCTGACCATATTTGTTATGGACTGCTGGCCTTGTTTGTGTTGTGTGTTTGGTTCTCATGCGTGCTTGATCCTATTTGATGGCGTGCGGATTTTGCAACTTGGATGTTAGTAGTGGAGAGTTAGTGCTGGAGGAATCACGAATAAATCCTTGCGGGCCTATGGGGTGTATCTGGTGGAAATGAGGATCAATTCACTAGTGTTGGAACACAAAGTCCTTTGGTGACCGGTGGGAACTTTTGAGCTATCTTAATGTGCCGTCTAGTGAACGATTTTAGCACTTATTTTCAGAGCACAAAAGTTCCTTTAGAGGGTGGAATTTCTTGCCTCGGATGTAGTAAGCAGAAGTTTTCTTGCACCCACCCTGTTACTAACTGGTCAAGACTTTACACCCCTAGAACACTGATTGTTGATTATATGAGTAGCCTAGCCTATGTATTTATCTGATTGTTGATTATGGGTAGGATTTTTTTTGGAGGAAATTATGAGTAGGATTTTTGGTGCAATTTGGATCCTAGCATACTTCCACCTGTGTTGTTTGACCCCAGAATTCATTTGTTGGGTTCAAACATAATTATTTCTGCAACTTTGGGATCAACATTTTCAATACTGCTGTGTGAAAATAACCATTGAATCTACTATGTTGCAGAATAATAGAGCTGATTGGTCTGTTGGTAGGCATGCCATTTTTGAACTGCTCTAGTTGCTTTAGCAGTCAACATTGCGTCGTTGATCTTGCAATGCTAATATCTAGTTTAAGTCTCCTATGGATTAAGTTTGGCCGTTAAGATTCATGTCATGTATTTCTGGGCATAGCGAGTTTAAGCTTATGCTGCTTAACATGATCAATTTTTAGTGACTCACTGACTGTGTGGCTCAGTTGTACTGCGTGATCATGATTAGCTAGAGCGCATGTGTAAACTTATACCTCGAGTTGATTGTAATGGGCAAATTGTTCATGTAAAGTAATTAGCCGTCAATCCCTGTTCAGTATTTTCAGAAACAAAGTTTGTATGGGGAATCAGGGACATGTGTATGCTTTTAGCTAACCTGACACCCTGTGCATACCATTTTCAAAATGCTTCCTGTTTTTTATTATCTTTTCTTGTGATTTCTAATTTATTTAAATTCTCTAGTGCATGCTGTTATTCTGACTCAAGCTCCTATTTCCACAGATTGACAATCTAAGTAACTTGTCGGACGTCGATGATCTTGCGAGTACTTTTGCTAAGGTTTGCTACTCTTAACTTATTGCTCCAGTATTTCAGCTTTAAAAATTGATAGGAGTTGGATATGACCTTTCCCACATGCACCTATCACATATGTTTTTGGGATACACAGTATTCTTCAGCAGATTCTTCTTGAATTAGCAACTTTCTGAAGCCACATTATGCTTTATCATATTTTGCTAAGCGGTTACTCTTATTGTTTGACAATCCATTCTTTTCTTATTATATCCTTGATAATTTGATTATCTGAACTTAGTGAACGTAGATAGATTATTGATTCTGAACACATTTACCTATTCTACGTTTTTACCCATGAAAGGCCCTATTGGACATAAAAGATGTAGACACTGAGTTCATGGGGATTGAACTCGCTTTGGAGTAATATTTTGGTCAATGGCTATGCACCTTAGGATTATGTCTGTTGTGCCTTCACCTTCGTCTTTGTTTGACTTAATACTTATATATGATGCATGTGTTCATAGTAGCTGCTTGTTTACTATTACTGTTTCTTAGCTTGCACTCAGAAATTTACATATTTTATTTCAGTTGAACCGAACCGTTAGTGGAACACGGAATCCTGGTGTTATCGGTGACAGACGATCCATTTCAAGAGGAAGTAAGTTGACATTGCTACTTTTACGACAAATTAACACTGATGTTTAATAGTGTGAAGCTTATTTGTGATATTCGCTATTGCTCTCTATGAAACATGATGCTCAAACTTTGGTTGTTTAAGAATCTTCAAGTCAGTCTTCACAGCATGTTCTTCTGCACCATATTTATTTTTGTCGCTTCAACTGTTTTGCCTCTCACTGTTAACCTTGTATATTATGTATGGAATTATGACATGCTATACATCATGTTATCTATGTCAGTAGATAAAAACATTTATGTTTTTTTTCAGAAATGTTTATATTAATATATTGTAGTTTTTGCATGTGGCTTGTTGAAAGCTCAGCATGTGCTCCAGTACGATATGATTTTATTGCATTGTTGCACATATTTTCGAAATTTAATGTCACCAGTATTATCAGGAAGAGTGGCGAGGTGTCTGTATTTATTGGTTGGAAAGCAACTATTTTAAGCAAATTTCAATCCCTTGTGGCCTCGAATTTAGGTTCTTATATATTGTTCTGTCAGGATAAAAAAATTGTCTTATGTTGAATTATGTGTATAGTAGAAGTCAATTTTATGCCCCAAGATTCAATGTGTTACTGATCTATGGAATGATTTTTATTCTTCAGGTTCTTTAACTGTTGATTGGACTGAGGATGTAGAGTTTCCCAATTATCAAGATATATTAGAAAATGAGGAATTCCAGGAAGGTAAAAGATGGTGGTCATCACAGTCACATTCTTTGGTGCAGCAAGGGGACAGCAAACCGCTAAGTCGAACATCTTCCTATCCTCAGCAGCCACTGCAGCACCGTTCCAGTGAACCTATCACAGGACCAAAGTCTCCTCCGTTTACCTCGTTTCCACCACCAGGTGGTAGATCACCACATCCTGCTCAAGGTCTTACACGTCATGGGAGCATTCCATCATTTGGAGCTGGGATACAGATGGGTTCTCCGAGCATGCCACTGCCAGGTTCCCCGTATCATATGGTTGGGTTACCTCATGGACTACCATATGGGGGAAGCATGCCCTTTGGTGGTCCTAATATGCATGTAGGCAATCCAATGCAAAATGACTGGTCAAACCAAGCCAACCTGTTCACTGGGGAGCACCTTAATCTACTGCCAAACTTATTACAGAAACAAATATCGCTTCCGAATAGCCCAATGTCATCACTGCTATTCTCTCAGCAACAGCAGAGATTGGCACAGCTCCAACCATCCCACCATCAGAATTACCTAAATTTACCACCCCACCTATTCTACCATCATCACCCCCCAGAGATACCAGGCAGGTTTGAATCTGCTACCAGTCTTCCTTCATCAAGAGACAAGAGATCAAGATCAGGAAGGGGAAAACACAGTTTACGTTTTTCTCAACCACCATCTGATACTACTGGTAGTCAGAACGGTGAGAGTGGTGGACTGAAGTTTAGATCCAAGTACATGTCATCTGAAGAGATCGAGTCTATTCTAAGAATGCAGCACTCGGCAAGTCACAGCAGTGATCCTTATGTTGTTGATTATTATCATCAAGCTTGCATGGCGAAAAAGGGTTCCAGTTCTAAGCAAAAGACCAATTTCTCCCCAACATCAGTTAAAGACTTGCCCTCCAAGTCTAGATCAAGTGGTGACCAGCATGCATATCTTCAGGTCGATGCTCTTGGGAGAGTTTCTTTCTCTTCCATTCGCAGGCCCCGGTCTCTTCTTGAAGTTGACAATCCTTTGTCAGGTGAGGGTCCTCATGATCAGAAGTCTTCCGTGAGGTCCCTGGAGAAAGAACCTATGCTAGCAGCCAGGGTCACTGTTGAAGATGCCATTGGTCTTCTTCTTGAGGTGGATGATATTGACAGGCTCCTGCAGTCTAGCCAGGCACAGGAGAATAGCTTTCAGCTGAGGCGAAGGCGACAAGTTCTCCTTGAAGGTCTAGCCGCATCACTTCAGCTTGCTGACCCTCTTGGGCCCAGCAAATCTGCCAATTCATCTGGTTTAGCCCCTAAGGATGATATTGTCTTTCTTCGCATTGTTTCTCTTCCCAAAGGACGTAAGCTTCTGGCTCGTTATATCCGGCTTATTGTCCCTGGAAGCGAGTTGACCAGGATTGTGTGCATGGCTATTTTCCGACACCTGAGGTTCTTGTTTGGGGGTTTACCATCAGATTCAAGTGCAGCAGAGACAACAGTTGCTCTGGCAAAGACTGTTTCGACTTGTGCTCACCATATGGAGCTTGGTGCTCTTAGTGCTTGCCTTGCTGCAGTCGTCTGTTCATCTGAACAACCACCTCTCCGTCCTCTTGGTAGCTCTGCTGGTGACGGGGCTTCTCTTATTATCAAGTCAGTACTGGACCGAGCAACTGAGTTGCTGACTGATCAGCGTGCCGTATCCAGCTATACCCCGTCAAACCGAGCTCTCTGGCAGGCATCGTTTGATGCTTTCTTTGGGCTTCTGACAAAATACTGCCTCAGTAAGTATGAAAGTATTCTGCAGATGTTTGTGATGCAGGCATCAGGCTCTGTGATTGGATCTGAAGCCTCTCAAGCACCCAGCAGGGAGATGCCAGTAGAGTTGCTACGTGCAAGCCTCCCTCACACAAACGAGCAGCAACGGCAGATGCTGCTTGATTTCGCTCAGAGAACCACGCCTGCCAGCAGTTTTAATCCCCCTGGTGCTAGCGGTGGACACATCTCTTCTGAATCGGTTCCTGGTTAATATAGCTCAAGGCCTCTGCACAATTGTCTTCGGAATGGTGATTCTTATATATCCGAAGACATGCATGATCACCCCCTTGATAAGGTTTTGAGCTGGGAGAAGTTCCATGGGCTCAGGAAAGTAGCCTTATTTCAGTCTGTGACTTAAGTGTAGGTTTCAGATTAATCTCATAGACCAACAAAAAGAGATGGATCCCCCCTTTTATGTGGGTCATTTACTATAGCACACCCTCCTGATGATCACAGATAGACCATGGAGAACATGTACTTATATTGCTGTAACTCTGTGCAGTGGATGAACCGGTCAGCTCGCTCGTCGGGGCAATCTAGTTTTTAACGTTTATGCGCCCGTGGTGCAGAAGACCGTAGTGTACAGGTTCGACTGCTAGAGCTTTCCTGTCTGTTCTTTTTACTGGAGCATGGAAGGTGCCAAGGAGTCAAGTGTGGAGTCTGGTCCATCTGTTTTATTTAGGACCAGGTATGTTGGAATAATGATGGGTAAGTGCAATTTATATGCTACTGCTGGAAAGATGTTTTTCTTCGTTGCAACATTTTATAGATGTGTCATGTCCCTCCCAGGTATCCACTGATATTAATAGTGGAGCACTGGAAATGGAAGCATTGTCATTTGTTCATCTTTTTTAGTTTGGCACTTTGTTTTTGTCAAGGGATGTGGGGCCAGTCTAGTTGGCTATAGAACAATACAATTGTATCTGTTGATGAATCAAAGATAGAAATTATAGAATCACAATCAACCAGAGAAAGTATACAAAGTTCCTTTTTTGGAGCAAAAGAGAGGCCACCCTGTCCGATTTTTCATTATAGAAAACCGAATGTCTTGCATAGAAGTTGAGTTTTTGTATGTGTGGGCATAATCTAGATCTCATGCCATCATCATCATCATCATGGTCTTGAACTCGTTGAAAGTGAGCACCCCGTCGTGTTGAGGTCGAACCGGCGGATCATAGCCTAGCCTGCTCATCATCAGCTTGGCTGAGCGGGGTGATGCAGCCCCTCCCTTACATCTCGTACATCCTGAACGCCTCCCTGCACCTGTTTTCCTCTTCCTCGTGGCCGGCCTCAGCCTCCCGCACCAGCCTCAGGAACTCCTCGTCCAGCAGCCCGTCGCTATCCGCGGAGGCCATCAGGGCCTGCACCTCCTCGGCTGACATGTCGCCGCCCAGTGCCGCCTACATGCAGAGCCACAACTCGGCCGTGGAGATCTTGCCGTCGCCGTCCTACGAACGCCGCGAACACACGGCTGAACTCGCCTGATGCGGCCATGCTCATTCACTCGGCTGGGATCGTAGCTGGTTTCCTGCTGGTTGACATGGAGTTCTGCTGTGTTGGTATTTATAGCTGGGAATTGGTATGGGCGAGCAAACTAAGTCAAATAGCGAGTTAAATTTCGGACCAGGAAAAATAAAATGAGTGACCTTCTTTGACGGAATATATGGGAGGCGAGAACGATGGGTTTATTTGAAACCGCCGTGCCATTTAAAATTGAACTTCAGTTTTGGCCCAGTGAACTTCTTTTGACTGTAATGTAGTACGGCGCTTCGGTGAGTTCAGTGGCACCGCCAAGTGCGCCGTGCACACGGGCTTCTCATCGCACCATCACGCCGGCGAGCCTGAGGTGGGCGCCAGACGGGATGTCGGCGAGTGCCGCGCCATGATTCGTACTAGGTTGATCTCAACGGAGACGGGCTGCTCACCTTCGATGAGTTGGAGACCATGATGAAATCGTAGAGGGCCCTGTACCCCGCTGCCAAGATTGTACACCTGCGCGACGGCCACCATGGAGGCTGGCGACCGAGGTGACGTTCGTGTTGCTGTCTGCTGCGGCCAAGGCCTCAGCGTCGTCGTTGGGAGGCGCCGGCGGTGGGTACGTGAAGGGCCTGGTTAAGTACATTGTCATGGATGGGCCGGAGGTGACCCTCATGAGGGCCATCTCCAGACCACATCAACAAGTTTGGCGTCAACAAGAACAAGGAAGTGGAGCTCGCCGACAAGTTCGTCAGCGTCGGCATGGATCTAAAACATATCTAGACGTGCCCTAGCTAAAACGAATTGAGCTGTTGTTTAGTCCAAATCGATTGATCCTGGTTTTAGTCTGTGCCTCCAAACCAATCGATCTTTTTATTTCCCTCCCAATCAGAGCAGGGGCTGGCGAGCAGGGGCGGAGCCAGGATGAAAACTGAGAGGGGGCAAAGATGCATATGACTTTTTTTTCGCAGAGGTATGTGTGAGAACTAATGGCTAAATCATTTATAAAAACTAGCGACACAACTACACAAGCATACATATAGCGCCTAATAAAAATAATGGCTAAATCATTTATAAAAACTAGCGACACAACTACACAAGCATACTTATAGTGCCTAATAAAAATAATGGCTAAATCATTTATAAAAACTAGCGACACAACTACACAAGCATACTTATAGCACCTAATAAAAAACATCATATATTTCTATATAATATAATTTCATCACACATAATTATGATAAGTTCATTGCCAATGTAAAATTAAACTAATCACTGAAGACCCAGTAAATTGAAAAATATCAATATGCCGCTTTTTAGTCTTGAACACAAATTATAGCATGCAATTTTTAAAGAGAAAACATGTTAAAATCTAATGAAAATAATCTTGAGCGCATCACCTCCTTCCGTTTCGTCCAAGTGGCGACTTTTTCCACAAAATTTTATTTTCTACAAAGCAAAGGAAATATGTAATTCTCTTTCTTATAGATGGATTCCTAGAAAGTTAGTTCAAATCAACAAATTCGTGAGTGTTGCCAGTTGTAGATTTTGCAAAAAAGAAAAAAAATCTCTTCATTCCATCAATGGTGTTTTTTGTCGACCGGCATCGACATAGTTGTTTTTCCTTACTTTCTCTTCGTTTTTCTCTTTTAGTTTTTGTCCCAGTTCCCCTTTTGATAAACCACACCACCATGTATTTTTTTTCTTTAGCCGATCTATATGAAATCACAGAAGCACCTTGGTTGCATCGTCAAAAAGTAAAACTCACTGCTTTCTAACATGAAAGTTGGAAAAGAACACCAATTTAAGAACTAGAACAGAAGATTGTAAAGATGAAGTGAACCTAGGTCTAGGGCTTACCTTGATCAATCAAGGGCGCAAGGATCAAAGAACGGCACGCCAACCGGCCGGCAGCGTGTACAACACGGATCGACGATGATTACCAGAGCTCGAAGGCGATCTGGCGAGGGCGCCCGTCGCATCTCGTCTGGGCGACTGGGTGGAAGAGAGGAGGCGCGTCGCGTCCGGACTCCGTTGCGATTCACGAAAGGAAAAGCTAGTACGCTGTTTTGCAAAGCCCGCTGGTAGTTCGTGCGTGACCAAGCCATATGGGCTGACTTTTGTTTGGAAAATAACCAGAAAAAATAAATGAGTGGGGGCAAAGAGTATGGGCTTAGTGGCGGCAAGGCCTTATACCATGGGCTTAGTATTAGGGCATGTACAATGATGCTATCTTAGGAGTGCCATGTAGGATCAATGAGATGGAGGAGAGAGAACTCATAAGAAAAAGCTTGTCTTCTCTTATTTAAGAGAAGACAAGAGATGATGTCTTTGCACAATATGTCTCACCACATTTTTAGGAATTACTAGTTATTCAAGATAAGGCTAAGAGACGATCCATTATAGATTTTTTTTTTGTTATCTTTAAATTACATGCAAAACTTAAAATAAGACTATTTTATCAATCATTGTACGAGCCCTTACGGGAGCAAAAATCGAGTAGGGGCATTTGCCCCCACTGAGCTCAACGTGTGTCCGCCCCTGAATCAGAGTATTATTGCCTTATTATGGAATACGAGACAGCTCAATATGGCAATCGACGGCAAATACGGCATCCTTCCCACGGTCTGGACGGACGAATCCACTACTAGTTATTCTGACGATCGCTGCACATAAAATGTTCTCTGGTTCAAACAAACACACCCAACAAGGAGAAATCATCGTCAAAGCATGCATCATATTAATGAACAGTTTGCCGTAACTTACGATTGATAACCTTTCCGTCAATCAACAAAGAAACTCACGATTATTGTAATCAATCAAATAAAAAAATATTGGCGGGTCTGAGAAACTTAAGACATACAAAATAATTTATCGACAATCAATGTGCATAATAAAGGAATTACATTTAGTTGCAAAACACAAGAAATATTTCAAGCTCCCTACTTGCGTGTAACTACACCGACATAGGGCAAGCCAATAGAGCCTATGTAAAGCTTCCCATTGTCTCTTTCCATGACCTCTGCAGGCTTCACACGCTTGGGCCCCCTCATCTCTTCGAGTATCTCGCCGTCAGCTCCGATCCTCACAGCGAGCATATGGCTATTGGGGCGAGAGGGCAATTCATTCTTCTCGCCATGTAATGCCACCCAGTAACCTCCCCTTCTGTCAGGCCTCACGTTATCGGGGTAGCCAGGGAGATCGGCAAATGGCTCAGATGTCCCCGCCTTGGCCCCTTTGATCCAGTGCCTCAGCAGTTTGCACGGCCCGGTAGATGCGACTATTAGATGCGTACGGTCGGTGCTGATAGCGACGCCGTTTGCATATGCCAGGCGTGTTTGGAGGACCGCGACGTCACCGGTACGTGGGTCGTACCTCATGAGACGCCCTGTTGAGTCCCCAGATCTTGTGACCAGCTCATGATTCGTCCTGTCATAGTTCATAGAGCTATCGGTGAAGTAGACTTGACCGGTGACCTGGTCGACGTCAACCCCGTTGGTGAAGCGGAGAGGTTTATCATCAACCGCATTGACCAATACCGTGGCTTCCCCGCCACGAGGACCAACCCGCATGAGTCCCCTGTAGGCGTCGGCCACGTATAGATCCCCAGACTTGTGGTGAAACTGCAAACCGAGCGGCCGGCCACACTGACTCTCCATGGAAGTTGCCGGGCGGAATATCGAAGCCCTGCACATGTCTTCGTCGTAGCCAGGGCCGTACGCGTAAGTGGTCCAG